CAGGCTGGAGGAACTGAGTCTCTTTAGTCTGAAGGGAGGGTCCTACACTGACAGGCTGGAGGAACTGAGTCTCTTTAGTCTGAAGGGAGGGTCCTGCACAGACAGGCTGGAGGAACTGAGTCTCCTTAGTATGAAGGGAGGGTCTTGCACTGAGGCTGGAGGAACTGAGTCTCTTTAGTCTGAAGGGAGGGTCCTGCACTGACAGGCTGGAGGAACTGAGTCTCTTCTCTAGAATAGTATTCAAAACTGCTACAAGTCACTCACATTGTTAACCCAGCAGATTTCTTCAGAATCAATAGAGGAAAATGAACTAGAGGGCACACCTGTAACTTTATAGAAATTAATGAAATCTTTCAACAGGAGACACTTATTTACACAAAGGGCGGCAGGAGTGTAGAACAAGCTATCCAGCAATGTTGTTTGATCCGACAGCATCCTTTCAATCCTTAGATCAGTTAACAGCCCAACAGGCTGGAGTTTGCAGCTCACCTTCTCTGCACGCAGGATGGCCGATTTCTTCTTCTGATCCAGTGCAGAGCCTTCTTTGCCCTTTTATCCATGGCTCTGACTGCCCAAGCAAGTACCAATCAACTGGTCGACAGTAGCTGTTTACACAGGCAGAGTCATACACAAGGCTTTTTTTCAACTTTCCCAAACCGTGGCTCAAGTTACATGAAGGCCCCAGGACTGCTCCCTCCCTGCCAGACCTCGTGTTCCTCCCCAATCTGCTGTACCCGTGTCTTTGAGCTGCTTGGTGGGTGTTCTCATTTCATCCAGCTCTGTTTTTAAGGGGTGGTGTGAAAACAAGACTTCTCCGAATCTCAGCTGTCACGTGCTTCAAACGTCGGCAGGTTTCTAGTGATTTGTGGGCAAACTGCCGTGTGACCAAGAACAATTTACAACCAAGAACACCTGGGAAGCTGTATTATTGAGGTTTCCCTGTTCTCACCTTGCAGTGATACTGTAAATGTCATGTGGTTTAAGATCCTTTGTGGGGAGGGACACTAAATCATTTACTGAAACCATCTCAGACTTCCAGGATGAAGTTATCCGATTTTCTAAGCAGTTTATTGGATGATTTGTCAGAGCAGCGTTGATGGCTCTTGAAAGACACGCTTGTGGAAGAGTAATTGGGCAGGTGCGTTGGAGGGGTGTGGATACATCTGTACCGAATCTGGGGGTCGATCCCTGCCAAGGGTCTGCTTGCCACAGACGTGCCTCTGCAGTGGGGGGGGGTGGGGGTCAGGGGCCACGCTGCAGGGTCCTGCCGGTGTCGGCGTCCGTGCTGGCGGGGTGCTCCGAAGGCTGGGCCTGGGCAGCCGTGTCCGCCAGCACACGCGTGAGCAGGATGGCATGATCTCCGCGTGAACTCCCCCTGACCCTCTGGGTCCTGTCCGCGTGATCCTGCGCTGGGAAAAATCCAACCATGAATCCAGCAGTAAATAATACACGAGTGCGCATCCAATACACGGCGGCTGCTAATGCACTTGTTCTCTCCAGGGATTTCCCCCGAGACGCAGATATCCTTGTGGTTCTCCCGCACCTCCCAAGCAGAGCCCGCCCTCCCTTTCATTCTGGGTCTCGGGTCCTGGGGGGAGAAGGGCTGGAATTCTTCATGGCTCCTGCCGATGTGATTCCCGCCGGCACGAACTGAGCACTTTTTTTTTTTGACTCATGCTTGTGAAGTCCTGGTTGATCCTGCAGAAAAACAAATGTCGCGTCCCAATGAAGCATGGCACGGTGATCCTTCGTGGAACCCTGCCCTGCCCACCGGGATTTAGAATGTCAGAGGTCAGGCAGACTTTGATTTACAAAATTAAGAGAAGGACAGATTTGCATTGTGACGTTGTCTTGCTTCTGTAGTAGTAAAAAATGTTAAAATTTCCAAGCAATTTGGCCCTTTGGGACCCTTTGCAAAATGGCTGCTTTTCTATAGTTCTGTAGTTCCCTAACAACTGCACATAGAAGGAATTAAAAAACCTGGCTTACAAGTCTTGTAGTTTTATAATGTATCTGATAAACCTGTAACATCACATACAGTCTACATAGTTAATACATCATCCTTGTCTTTTTACGGATCACAGGTTGGTTTTGTGTCCAAAGACAACTTTCTCATCTGTTTGGAGGTGGTTGTGCTTTTGTGGTTTCCATAAGCTCCAACAACATGGCTGGGTTGCTGTTTATTCTACTCCCACAACTCTTTGTGTAAAGTGGTGCCTGGATTTCATTCTGCTGTTTCTGGGGCTTGTTCCACGCTCAGAATTTGTTTTAAATACTTAAAACTATTATTTTTTTTAAATCAGCCCTCTTGGGTTTGTTGATCATGGGGCTGCGGTTTTATCGTTCGACTGGAGCAGCCTTGAACGTCAGCCAGTCCCCGCCTTTCCAGACAGCTCTTGTTCAGACCTGCCCAGCCTATTTCTGGGTGAAACTCCACCCTCCGAGCTGAACTTGAGTCCCCTGCGCTCGGAGGGGTCTTGGCTGGGGCGAGCGGCTCCCAGTGGCCCCTGGCCTGTTGGCTGCCTGCCTGCAACGGCTTCGCACTCGAGAGAAGGTGTGAAATCTGCCCACTGCGCAGACAGCCCCCAGCACGCTGTCCCACGTGCTTGTTCGGAATAATAATTCCTCACACGGACACTGCACCCTGAGCGCTGTACGGGTCAGGGGGGGATCCCCTCCACCTCCGGCAGTGTGTACCCCCCTGCCTGGGTGACACGCCGGCTCTCAGTGGGGGGCAGAGCTGAGTGACGGAGCCAGTTCAGAGACGGGGGTTATCGGGAGCCTGTGACCGGTCTGATCTCTGCAACATGGATGGCCTCCTCCGATCACCCTGGCGCCCCGCTCTGCGCCGAAGCCTGCTGGCCTCCCTGAGCGGGTCTGAGGTGACTGCAGGTCCCGCCATGTGGCCCTCCTGGCTGTGTGGGACCAGTACAGGGGGACACACTTTCCTGCTGAGGACCCCGATCACGCTGTGACCTGGAGCCCCAGGGTGTCAGACGCCGTGTCTGCCAGGCTGAGGGCTGCAGGAGCAGGAGCGGGGAGGGGGAGAGGGGTCCGGGCTGTGAGAAGGCCCGGGCCCGCTCGCTCCAGCGCCCCTCTCGAGCCTTATTTAGCCGTCAAGCGAACGGGCCGGCTGCCAGGGGGAGCTGCTGGCTGCGAGCTCCCTGGTATATATTTGGATTTTCTGCCTGTAGATAAGGCCCTTGGAAAATATAGCAGGGGGCAGCCCAAGCAACGTTTGCGGATTATTTTACTTTATTTTCTCCTCGGAGGAAAAAGGAAAGGAGTGAAAAAGTGAGGGAGAGGGAAGAGGAGAAGGGGGGGGGGGTTGTGGTGAGAAAGCATTACTTTTATTTTCATTCTTAACCTCTTGTAACTGGGGGGGGGCGACTGAAAAGGAGAGCCCGACCTCCTCCCTGCGGCGCAGCTCTTCCAGCTCCTGAGTAACAGGAACAGGGCTGGTTCGCTTTATCTTCCCTGCGCATCATGTTTACCTAGCAACACGCATCACCCGCTGCTGGCCCTCCCATTGGTCATTTCAAACCGCGGCCTCGGCCAATGGGGCGCCTGTTGCCATGGTGCAGTGTGTGTTGCCGGGTGGAATTTGCTGCAGGCACGTGAGTCCGGGAACCTTTTTTTTTGGGGGGGGGTGTTGCTTGCTTTTGTCTGGGAGCTTGCAAACGTGATTTACTGGAACCGAGTCACACTCGCTCCCGAGAAACCGGCACCACCGTGTGCTCAAGCAGGTCGCGCTGCCCACGATAGAGGGGAGGAACGGGGAAGAAAAAGAGATAAGCAGGATCGGAACAGGCCGCGCACTGGGCCGGCCTGCAGTGGCGTGTGGCGGGGCCGTGCTCCCCTCCGGGGCGGGCCGCAGGGGCCCGCAGCGCAGCCGGTACAGAGTTAAAAAGGTGCTGCCCTAGATTACAGAGCCGAGTTAAAATAGGTCTCTCTCTCGGTACTTGAGCGAAGTGAGTGCAGATACAGACACATGACCCGCTGTCTCATTTTTAAAAGCGGATTGGTGGCGTATTATGTGTCGTATAGATTTAACAGCCCTGCCCCCTCCTCGAACCGAAAAAAAATGGAGCTGGCCGCGAGCTGAGAGGTGCCAAGATCTCTCTGTGGCTTAAGAGCTTCACGACAAGTTCAACGCGCTGTGAGCTGAGGGCAAGACCGGCAGAGCTACCAACAGGGACCGTAAAACAAAGAAAGAGCAGCAGCCCCCTGGACTCGGTGTATCCCGATGACAGTCACCAGGGGAGCCCTGGCCAGCCCCTTCCCTCTCGGTTCGGGTCGGGTCAGGGGGGCTTGTCCCCTGATGGGCTTCTGATGTTGTTTGAAATGAGCGGCCGGAGAGACGCAGCGCTCCTGCTTCTCAGGCCCCTTCAGGAGCAGCAGGTTAAAGGTGGGCGGTGGGGGGAGCGGAGACGAGCCTCCCGCGCGCCCGGCTCGCCCTTTGACCCACATTACGCCAGAGGAATTCGCCCCCTCTCGCGCTAACCAGATAAGGCGCGTGCGGGGGGGGGGCAGTCAGCTCCGCGCGCTGTAATGCTATTACGCAAGTTTTAGGCAAATCAGTGGGGTGGGGGTGTACCAGGCGCCGCTGCATGACGACATGAATTCAGTCAGCAGCTAGAGATAGGATTGACCAGAAGCGCGGTGTTTATCTTTGAGGGGGGGATGAATGCGGATTTATTCAGGTTTGGCGGAGTTAATCCCATCCCGCCCCCCCCGCACCTCCACTCGGCCTTTCCGGACCCTCAGGAGCTCCACGACCCCCCCGAGAACTGTAACAAGAAAGTTGAACCGCGCAGGTCGACAGGTGGCCCTTCAAGTACACGTGCGGTGACGCCGGCGACCTCCTGGTTTAAACGTTAACCCCACCCCCCCCCCTCCACGCCAGGAGAAGACGCGCTTGCGAGTGACTCGCTCGGGGAAAGGTCGCCTTCTAGTTGCGTTTTAGCTGTATGTGTCCACAAAACAAACCCCTTCAGCTGGGGAAACGCTGAACTTCAAGGAGAGCGGCAGCAGCGGTCGCCTCTTCAGACTTGACACTCGTGGTGCCCGAGACACAATCAGCGTTTTTCGGTCGCAAGACATTTACTGGGGGGCGCACAGCGTGCAAGCCCCCCGCAGGCCTTCAGCAGAGCGCGATATGGCGTGTTCGAAGGTATTTTATCTTACTTCCGGGGCTTGTGCCTTCCCTCTTGAAGAGCGCGGTCAGTCCAGTTCTCGTCCCCGACCGCCTCTTATTGCACAGCGCAGCCAGGGTAAGGGTTATTCTAGCGAGCAAGGTGTTGTCTGGCTTCCGAGGGTCATAGTTCTTAATTTACTCGCGAAGTACACAGCTTGTTGATGGGGTGCAGCTTGAGCTCCTGTGAGTGGGACAGCGGGTCTGTTAAACTGCCCTGCGCCACTGTTGCAATCGTGTCCTTTTTCGTCCACATGATTAAACATTCGTTCATATGCTGATGTAACTCGGGGGATTTTCTGGATTTTATGAATTTATTATCCAACACACAAGTTGGTTTGCGACGTCGGATTCTGGTTTAAAAAGGCGCTGCCCCCTTTAAAAAAAAAAAAATGAGTCACTGTTCAGTCTCTTCCCTTTTTGTGCGCGGTGTCACCCATCCCCCCCTTCCTTCGTCTCCTGGCTCTGGGTTAGGATGCGACCCCCCATCGTCGCTATCAGCAGCTACCTGAACCGTAGCTCCCATTTCCGCGGGCACGTCACTCCCTCCAGCAACACAGCGTTCAGGGAGCGTCGAGGCGGGTCTCTTCTCCCCTTCTCCCCGCCCACTTTCTCTGCGACCAATCCTGGCCGCCGCCGCCAGTGCGTCTGACCAATAGACAGGAAGTTGCCGTGGCGTCGGGTAGCAACAGCCTCGGGGACGCGCAGGACGGGTGGGTGGTTTGCTGTGTCTATGAAGTGACGGAGCCGCGCGTCAAGGTGGGAGGGGAGGCAGGAAGCCGGACGCGCGCTTTAGCACAGAAAGTTAATATTATTTTATTATTTTGTAGGACATTCGCTGCCAGGGTATGCGTACTCCCAAAAGCAAACGATTGAAAAAAGTTTACTTTCTTATAACTTTAACACTGCGTACATACTGTTAGTCCATCAAATGCTGTATTATTAAGAGCTTGATGTACTTCTATAGGGCTATACCGACCTGCCTCCGGAAAAAAAGGAAGTTTAGTTTATTTGGAAGAACTAAGAAAAGTCTTCGAAAACTAGTATGTGTGAAAGGAACACGCCTTTTGCCTAGGGAAGAGATATTGAGATATACCGAGGGCTTAAATGATCAAGTCGAGTTATATATATATTTTTTAGATAAAAATGATCCAAGATGAAGAAGTAGGAGCCATGTATATATTTACATGCTTCATAGTAACAATACGTGGCTCAAACTAGCTACGTGAAGCTTTTTATTTTAAAGTTGCTCATCACATCCTCTTTCAGCGCTCTGACGAGCACTCGTTCGTTCTGAAATGCAGGAACTGGCACCTGGCACCTATTCTTGTAAAGCAGAGCCCGGAGACATTTACTGAGATACCCAGTGACTGGAGTATCCCCACAATTCCTTCTGTTTGTCAGAGTCAATCTTAACAGAAGCAATAGGGTGAAGAACCACTGTTCCCGTGTGCCCATCCTGCTTCGCATTCTGGACTTGTCTGCATTTCATTACAATTTTCAAAAAATGATGTTGAAAGAGGGCAGCACGGTGTCGGGGGGTCAGCAGGGCTGGGGCCCTGGGTTCAGTTCTGGACCCGGCGTGCTGTCTGTGTGGAGTCTGCATGTCCTCCTCATCTTTGTGTGGGTTCTCTCTGGGTGCTCCCAGGGCCCGGAGGCATGCTGGTGGGTTAATTGTGTCTAGTTGTTTCTGTGTCTGCCCAGCGGTGGACTGGCGTCCCGACCAGGGCGTGTCCTGCCTTGCGCCCGCTGGGATAGGCTCCGGGACCCTGAAATGGTAGAAGCTGTTGGAAAATGGTTGGATATAGGAAGACGGAGAGGACCTGACGGCTGAAGGCTTTCCTGAAGGATAGTGTTGTACACGCCCTCTTGTCCAGCAGAGAGGACAATTGACCAGAACAGCGTTCTGCTCTCAATCCTGCTGGGAAACGGGATTCATTCCCACACATCCTTATCCCCTGTCCCGAGCTCGCTGGAGAGGGATGGGTGTGGGCCGCGGAGCGCGCTGTGCAGCTGTTCCAGCTCTTTGTGCTGCTTGGGCAGGCCTTGCAAGCAGTGTGGGTGTGTGGGTGTGGGGTTCCTAACGTTTTGGCCATGGAGGACAGACTGCAGTTAGAGAACTGGCTTTCAGGCCTGGCTTTTAACCATACGTCCTAACATTCGGATTGCCGAGAGTATAATGATGGGGCATTATAAACGCCCGGTATGTCTTTTTCTTAGCTGGTTTCAGCCCAGTGTTTCCCATTTTGTATCTTGCTCCTGCGTGCAACTCCCTGCACCTGTCTGCCTTCAGTGTCATCCATCGGGGCTCGGCACAGTCGAGACTGAATCTCTTTGGGATTTCCTTTGTGGCTTCTACAGTGTTTTGCTAATCCTGCTCTTTTTGTTGGTCTGAATTAGGAAGAGCAGTGGTCCTAGTATGGATCCCTGTGGCACTCCGTTAACTGCATCACTCCAATGTGAGCTTTTATCCCTTGCGTGTACAGATTCAGAAGTGCTTGAACTACTATTGTAGCTGCTTGTTCAGCTTGAGAAATTATTTGAACGAGACCTGCTGCCCGTTAATTGTTCACTGTGCTGTAGAATCCTACTGTTATAGACACCCGCCACAAATAAGGCTCATTGCCCTATAGGTATTTGTTCTTTGACGGAAGCTACACCAGCAATTTTACGCTCATTTGGTCTTACTGTTGTAAGAGGTTTGTTAAAGGTCAAATAACTTAGCTAGCAGCTGGGTGTTTCACCGAGATGTGCCTCTCCATGCCGGTGAGCCCTCGTTACCGTTCATTGTAATGAGGAATGGTACCTCATACAGTGCCTGTGGCACTCAGATGTGTTTAAAGGAGCTAAAGCGTGTGTAACAATGCCAGGCACAAAGCAGAGGAGGCACAAACACTCCCGCTGGCTTCACCCATGGCCCTCAGAGCAGAGCGCAACACTGAATGACTTCCCCTTCCAAAGGGGTGTGTGCTGGGGTATTGTGTTCCCAGGTTCCGAAGGACACTTTAAACCTTACACACGCAGACGAGGCAGCTTCTTGAATGGGTCAAGACCCTGCACAGCCCCCTTAGACTCCTGGGACACTTGACCTTGAAACTTGTGTCTTTTGAGGGGGGTGATAGGGTGCTGCTGCTGGGAGTTGATTTCCCATAGAGGCAGGACTGGGGCAGCTGGTGGAAGGTGGTGGAGAGCTGGCTGGGCTGTGCTCTGAATTCAAACCTGCAATTTCGCACGTTGATGCAGCTTTGCAGCCTAAATACCAGCGCAGGACAAACGTTGGTTCTGTACAGGTTCCTGGATTGGTTAAGGGCTCTGTGCTTCAGGCAACGTCAAACTTCAGGCCCTGTTGTCAGTGACTGTAGTCTGAGCATCTGATGAATTATTCATTCTTGGATGTAGTTTTCGTGACTTCGCGCATCTTTGCTGTCACGTTACAGCGGTTTTCCCTTCACTTTTACTGTCCTCGTTTTTTCGATCTTCAGTCTTTAGATGTCACGCCGGAATCCGGTACAGAGGATATTGAACATATTGTTATAGAACGCAAGCAGTCTTAGTCAATGAGAAAAATAAAAAGTCTTTGCTGCTTCAAGGATACTTAATGCTGTATCGGGGTCCGTTTCTGCTGCTGCGGTGGGGGGGGGGGCGCTTCAGTGGACGCGCACAGTGTTAGGGCACGGGGCCGCGCGTCGGCGGCGCGCCTTGGTAGTTGTCCTCCGTGTCTATATATATCTACCGGGTTACTATAAATGGAGAGGAGCGGCTTGGAGGCGCATCTATCCCAGAAAAGGGGGAAGGGTCTGGGAAGGTTTACTTTTAAAACCGGGAAGCTGTTGAATCGGGCGGAAAGACAGCGGTGTATCTTCGCGTTTTGGACCCCAGCGTCGATCGCAGCGTTGTGTGCCCGCGACACGTGAGGCGCGTTTAATTATTTATAACCCGGAGCCGCTCCGCCAACCCCCCGCCCCCCCCGCCGAGCGGCGCCTGTTGGAAAGGTCCTGCGCTCAGGGTGTGGATGCGGAGCCGGGCAGAGCGACTCCAACCCGGGGAGGAAAAAAGCGGCGAATATGAGCTAAAGGCGGCGGGGAAAACGTCTCCCGGAGAAAACCGCTGAGCGAGAGCGAAGGAGGCCGAGAAGAGAGCAGGAGGGCCGCGGCCAGGCGGAGCAGAGGCGCCGAGGGACGCCGGCGGAGCAGCGCGGAGAGCCGTCCGGGCGCCGGGGCCGAGGCGCAGGCAGGCCGGAGCCACTGCGGAGCGGGTCCGGGGCGCGGTGGGGGGGAGGGCGAGGCTTGCAAAAGGGGGCAAAAAAAAAACCCACCTCCAGCTTTCCCTGCCCCTCCGTGCCTCCCGTCCCGCATTTCTGGAATCTTTTTTTGTGTGCGTGTGTGGTCGGGATCGGGAATCGACCGGACCGAGCGAGAAAGGGAGGGTCCGGCCGGCGGATGTGCGCGGCGGAGGGAGCCTCTCGGAGGGAGCGGGACCTGTGAACACGGGCTCGGAGGCGGCGAGGGATGCGCTCCTCCCCGCCCGCCTGCGAGCGTCTCTCCAGCGGCTCTGCCCCCGTGAGGCGCGGCGGGGCTTAGGCTCAGCTCGCTCAGCCAGACACCCGCCAGTGGGCGGCTTTCCACATCTCCAGCCTGATCCGCGGGACTCCCGGGAGAGGAGGATCTTCAAGTCGAAACTTTCTGTTGTTGTTGCTGTTGTTGTTGCGCAAGACTCCCAGAAGACGCGGTGCGAGAGGCGCTCTGGGCGCTTCGCCTCTTTCCGTTCCTGCTGTTCGGTTGTTGTTTTTCCTGGGTGACTGTGCCGGCGACACGGGCTCCTCTTCTGCCCTCCGGCGCCTGAAATCTGCCCCCCGGAACGGATCGACCCCAGGGTCAGACTCGCTCCCAGGACCCCGACGGACCCCGAGGTCAGCGCCGGACATCTGCGACTTCCCCCCGCTAGCACCTCCCCCCCCGAGCCGGGGGTGTCCTGCCTGGGGGGCAGCCGTGGACAGACCTGACCGCACCCCCCGCCCCTCCTGTGGAACCTGTTTCTGAAAACCGGCGTCCAGGAAGCGCCGCTCGCCGCCCGGGACTCCGAGCCTTCCGCTCCGGAAAGCGGCGAGCAGCCCCTCCCCCCACCGCCTCCATTTTTCCGTCGTTCCCGGGATACCTGCGCCCCAGAGCGGGCTATTTTTAGCGGGCATGGGGTACAGGCGGCGGGGTGGGAAAGCGAGGAGACCCTAGCCCCACGCCGCTCCGATCGCCAGCGCAGGAGGGAGCCGGCGCTCCGAGCCCTGTCCTCCGCGGCGCCTCTCCATGCCTCCAGTGCCTGCGCGTCCCCGCTGGAGCTGCAGTCCGCCCGCTGGCTCGACCCCCGGCGACACGGTGCCTCGGCCCGGCAGGGTGTGGGCGTCCGTCATTACGTGAGCAAAGCGCGTTTTCACCAAATAGTCCTGTCCAGAGAGCTATCTTAATAGATAGGGTATAAATAGAGTGGAAATATATATTTTTATTTTGTATATCTCTAAAGAAGCGTTGCCTAAACAGAACTCATTGCCTTAGAAGACGCGCGGATCCCGCGGATTCGTCCAAACTTTTCCCTGCTCGGGGGATTTTATTTTCAGGTGCCTTTCTGTCTCTGTCCCGGTGTGGCCACCGCGGGAGAAGCGTCAGCCTTTCGCCAGAAGTGAAGGAAGCTAAAACTCTTGCTCTTAAACAACAACAAAAAAACGCTTTTTTTTTGCTTTTTCCTCCGTTGTCAACGTCGCTGGATGTAGCAGATCGCCGCATCCCGTTGGGTTTTTTCCTCTTCAGACTGTTGTTTCCGGGATTGTATCGTTTGTGTTTCGAGGGAGGATTATTGTCATTATCGCCATCATACAGTTTTTCTCCCCCCTCCCCTCCCCTCACACCTCCCCCCGAATTGTACTTCTGTTTCCGATTGCGGTCGCGCCAGTTCTCCATCGGGGTCCCGCGGTGACGGAAAGGCGATTCCGATGGTGATCACGTCGGCCGTGGACGAGAAGCCCCAGCCCTCAGCGAGAATGGTCGCCAGCGTGCAAGCCGACTGGATGAACAGCCAGGAGCCGGGCAGATACCTGCCGCAGCCGCACCTCCTCAGCAAGGCCTCCCGAAGTCAGTATCCGAGCCGCTCCGGGGAACGAATCCGGGGGTGTGATTTCTAGGCAGGGGCTGGCTGAAAGGCTGCCTCCAGTGGGTTGGAAATCTGAAAACTGCCCCATAGATGCGGTCGGTCCTGTCATTGAGCTGGTCAGAAATTCAGTGGTGGAACTGAGGGCTCTGCTGGGACCAGGGACACTGGGGTCTTCCCCTGCTCTATTGAAGTGGTTGCACTGGGACAGGGGTGCTTTCCCAGTGTGCTCGTGTGCTGTCCTCTTGCAAAGCGTGCAGGTGGGGAGATGAGCCGATCTGGCGTTTCTGGCCTTGTCTCTCCCTCGCTCCCACGATTTTGATCCTTTCCTTCCCTTTATGCAAGCAGGGAAGCCCAGCGTGTGTGTGTGAGGCAGGTGGGGACCGGTCCTGATGGTAGCCTTCGCTTTCCGTGTTGGAATATAGCCGCCATCCGCAGACGCCCTCTCGGTTCCCTTAGCCTGTCCTCGCGGAGAGCCCTGTCGGGTCAGCTGGCGTGGGTGGATCTTCAGAGGCCACAGTCTCGGTTTTAAAATTTGCCGCTCCTCCTCCAGAGGAGCCAGGTGTGTCCAGGCGTGGGGGCGTGCCGCTGATCATCAGTCTGAGCAGCAGGTCCCGTCAGCTTCCGGAGTCCGGAACTTCCGGAGAGCACTGGGGTTAAAGGTCGATGGCCTCTGTGGGATGGCATGCCGTTTCTGCTTCCGGGTTACATGGTGGCCAGGAAAAAAATTAGCGTGTGGGTAAAGTGTGGGGAGGGAGCACAAGGCACTGAAGCCCGCTGCTGTCTAGATGATTTTGGCGTTTCCTGCTTCAGGATTTGACTTCCGTAGCTGGGTCAGGTGGCAGAGTGTGTCTTTGTGTTAGGGGGTCTTGGATTTCTCTCCCAGCGGCCAGTGTCTTGAGTGTAACATTGCTGGGGCACAGCGATCGGCCCCTCAGACCTCCAAGCAGAGCCACCAGCTTCAACCATGCAAGCATTGAGACAGCTCGTGGGGCAGGCAGATGCTCTGCGTTCGTCGTAGGTGGCCTAGACTACTCGGTTGGGAGCAGCTCACAGATGCGTAGTGTTGGGGGGGGTGGGGGGGTGAACTGGTAACTGCGCTGAGCACAGGACCTTGGACTGACTTCTGTCCGATTGAGGCAGGATTGCAGCTTGGAAGAAAAGTTCATTTTTGGGGTTAACTGGGAGGGGGGGGGTTGTATAAACGAGGCAGCCGTACTGCGTGCAGAAATGACCTCCTTTTAGGGTTTGCCTCCTGAGATCTCACCTTAGCGTTGGTTTTCGCGGGTGAGGTCCGCCGCGATCTGGCCGTGTCCTGAGCTCTGGCTCTACGTCCACAGGCAGTGATGGATACTAGACCTCCAGCTGCGGCCTCCTGCCCCCCCAGAGCCCCCCAGAGCAGACCCGCGGTGACCCCTGGGGGAGTGAGAGAGTCCTGGGCTGTGGTCAGGCTGCACCTGTGCCGTGCTTTCGGAGGCGGTCCCTCGGTGCTGCCCGGTGTGGTTCTGCTGGCAGTGGTTAGCAGTGCGGACTGGAGCTGGGTGCAGAGGGGGCTCAGTTCGAGTTGAGCGGGGGGCGTGGTCTGGCAGGGTTCTTGGATTGGGAGAGGAGACGGGGAATGCTGAAACTCCTGCCTTTGGGAATGGTCTCCCATTGTCCTGGGTGCTCAGGATCCGAAGTTATTCTGAGAATTCAGGCTGATCTTGACTAATCCCTATAATTCCTTTTGCTACCTCAGGGTTTAGGGTGCCTGCAGTCTGCCTGTTTGTCAGTGAAGGTCTCGGGATTTTCATTCGTCTTTAATTATTGCGTCGATCCTCCACAGAAAAAATTCTGGTTCAGGTTGAATTTAAGTGATGTTTCAATTCAGTCTGAATTTACAGCTTATATGGGCTCAGCTCTCCCAGTGGAACAGGGAATGTTGCTCATCTCCTGGGGGTGTGGTTAGCGGAAGTCGGCTGTCGAGCTTCAGTGGTCGTGCCTTCCCTTCTGTCCCTGTGCCCGTGTTGGGCCAGGCTGAGACTGGTCCTGGCTGTCTGGCAGTGCTGTCTGGCCTCCGAAAAGGTGAGCTGGCACGCCAGCGATCCGAGAGCGCTTTGGCGGAGCTGTCCATCGCTGGCTTGTCTGGCATCGCAGGAGGGTCTGTACAGGGAGCCAGCCAGTGCCGCGAGCAGGGCTTCGTAGACACGGACGTGGCCCCAGTGCACAGCTGCTGTTCACAGCTCAACTTAACATCCTAAATGCCCACAGACTCCAGCTTGGCGTGAGTGGTAGATTGAAGCCGTTGGGTCTGAGGGAATAATTGGGCAGGAGAGGGACAGAGTCTTGTCCAGGCTTACACGCCTGCGTAAGACTTTCACGCCAGTAAGGTGGAGGGACAGCTGCCTGTGGCTGACCTGCAGCATCAGCACCATACCTCCACGATGGCCCTGCTCTGCTTGGTAATCTAACTGTAGGCCTATCCTGCACTGTAGGCGCGATTGTGTGTGTGGTCTGTGAGCCAGCTGTCCCGCCGGTAGGGTCAGGGAGACGCCTTCGGGCTGGGAGCGCTCTTCGGTGTGACAGCGGGGGGCACCGCGTGGTCTCCGGAGTGAAACTCGGGGGCTGCAGACCCTCTGAGCTTCTTGGTGCGCTGGGCTCAGCTCTGCTTTCCTGACCGCTCCGGTGTCTGTTTCGTGAACTCGCTCGGGCGCTGGGCTCGTGGGTGTGGGCAGCACCTCTTCCCCGACTGCATCTAGTGGGCGCTGGAGCCTGTGGCAGAGCCCCTGGCACTGCATGGAAGCCCGGAGGAGTCCAGCAGGTTTCCAATCCTAAAACCAGATGGGCTAATACTCCCGCTACAACCTCCACTTCAGCTGAACCTCCTTTTTGGTTTCAGTATTCATTTAGGTTGAGATCCTTATAAAATGGGGGGGGGGTTGCTCCCGAGCCTTCAGAGCTCCCCATGAGAGAGCCGAGTCCGCGACCTCAAGCCTCCGGTGGCCGGAGTGCTGGAGCCCTGCTGGATGGCACTGCAGCGCTGCAGGAAGGATGTTCCTCAGAGACCCTCCGTATTCCTTCCTGCAACATTCCTTCTTCTCCGGACAGCTATCCCGGGCTTTCTGCTGCTCGGATTCATGGGGTGCCTCTGTGGTCAGACCTTCGTTGGCCTGCCCTTTCACGCCAGACAGGGGCTTGCGCTCGGGTTCGTTTTGTCTTGTGCTCTGCGGTTTCTGCTGATGAAACGTTGGCTCGGTGGTGTAGTGTCCGGGGGGCTAGTGTGCGGACAGCCGGGCGTTAGGACCTGAGGCAGGCTGCGGTGCCCCAGGGGTTAAGGGGGAGTCTCTGGTTCTGGTCCAGCCTGCACCGTGAGCCCTTAGTGCTATTTCTGGATCCCCAAAAGCAGCTCTTGATGGACAGGTGCGCCCCCTCTCGCTGTACCTGCTCCGATCTTGGCTGTAGGTCTGGGATCTGCGTGCTTTTATTGGCTCGTGGACCGGAGGACTTCCTCCTCGTCAGCCTGGCAAAGCCTTTCCAGGAAGTGATGGAAGCTGGGAGCGCTTGTTGTGGGGGTGGGGTGGTAGCAGTCGGCCCCGGATTCAGAGGCTGGGCTGCAAGGAGACGGGAGCTGGTGCTTTCTGGCTCAGGGGCTCCACTGGCCTGGCGCGACGAGACCGGGAAAGAGAGCGCCGATGGCTGCCCTTCACCGGGACGAGAGGCATTGTGTGGCCCTGTGGCCCGTCGCCGCCTGGCGTGCCGGATGGGAAGCAGGCGGGAGCAGCGGAGCAAGGGGGACTTGCGGCTGGGGAAGGTCGGGAATCTGAAGTGGAAAGTACCTGTCCGCCGTAGCAAAACCAGCTCCCCTCCTCTGTGCATCGATGGCTCCACGTGCGGCCTGAGGCCGGCACCTGATGGCAGGGCCTGCGCAGCTTTGCCTCGCTCCCGGTTGCAGGACCTCCAGGCAGGCAAATGGCCAGGATGCTGGAGGCGTCCGTCTCCTGTCCTCTTTAACAAGACGGGAGCTGTGACCGTCCCAGGCTTTCCCTTTTCACCTGGTGTCCTCTTGAAGTTTTCCGTAAGGTGGGCAGCAGCCGAGGTCGGTTCGGAAGCCGGGCCGGTCCGTGTGAAGGAGCGAAGCAGTGTGGGGGCACAGACGAAAGCCGGGTGACCCGGGAAGTTAGAACCCAGAACGGGTCTCTGACCCGAAGGCCTTGGGCCACGCCGACGTGTTTGGTTTTGAAGTTGGCAAGTGACGGTTTGATGACATTTACACCACCGTTTAGTTCATCAGGAAAGTGAGGTTCGTCTGGGAACCTCCGTATTCGTTGCCGTGACATTGTCCTTTCTGCACGGGTATCCCCAGCTGCTGCTCAAATTCCCAGAGTGCTTTTGTGGTCAGATCTGTGTTAGACTGTGCTTTCACCCCAGACGGGGCTGGGAGAGGTGATTGCTTATGCTCTGTTTCTTTTTGTCTTGTGTTCTGCAGGTTCTGCTCATAGTTTGATAGACTAGTGGCGTTCCTTCGTTTGTTTTAAAACACGATTCTAAATGTCCTGTGTTTTACGTCGTAATTCCGTTGTGGGCACTACCCCCCCCCCCCTGGTTGGCTGGAGTCATTTAAAACAAATGCAGGACTGGTGGCGTTCCTTTACATAAAGGGTGGTGGGAGCATGGAACAGGTTACCCAGCCATGATGTTGAAGTCAGGATTGACTTCTTTTGAGAAACAGCTGAATGAGATGCTGGGATCTGTGACTTGACTTGGCCTTTATAATGCCGGCCTGCTGTCTTGGTTTACCCTTCACAAAAATACACCAAAATGCGATTTCGTCTGCGCTGGCAGGTCCTTGGGTTTTTCAGGGGACGTCCTGCTGGTGTCTCTGAGATTGAGCTCTGCCCTGCTGGCCCCCTGAGTTCTACAAAAGTTGCAATAGAGCGTTTTCTGTTTCTTCCGAATTAAATTAATTAGCTTCTGTTCTTCGGGGTTTGGGCTCGGTAACCATCCC